AAACATAAACAGACTTTTTGCACCCTCTAGGCCATCTCTATCATCTGGAAACCAATGCACACGTGCAAAGCAGTTAATTGAAACACAACAAGGAAATATCCTGAACAGACGTGTCAGGGGTTAATCTTCATTTTATTGGCGTAATTTTTTTCTGACACTTGGAAGCTGATTGTTTGTTTAATTTGCATCTTGGCTGTTCCTGGTACCTCCTCTCTGGCCCGTGACACCCATCAAACAGAAAACTGTATATATTGATGGAACCCCATCCAGTAGACAGTCAAGCATCGGACAACACCCCAGACTCTCTGAGGCTCTGAAGACTTCTGCAGGGTTGGAGGTATGGTAACCATCAATGATTAAGATTAGAAATGTTCAATAAGTATGAATATGTTACTCCTCATCGAGAATATTTTAGTTCAGTTTTGGGTAACAGTTGACAAAAGGATATTGCGGGACTGAAAAGAGTGCAGAGAAGGGCAACTAAATGAAAGTTTATCTAAACCCAACAACAAAAGCGTCATATATTGCAGCCTACCGGTATGTAGATGTGGCGGCTGCATTCCTTTTCTTTTTTCAGACTAACAATATTTTCATATAATACAGGTTTAGTATAAAGTGAATAATATACACTATATTACCAAAAGTATTGGGACACCTTCCTTTACACGCACATGAACTTTAATGGCATCCCAGTCTTAGTCCGTAGGGTTCAGTATTGGGTTGGCTCCGCCCTTTGCAGCTATAACAGCTCCGCCTCTTCTGGGAAGGCGTCCACAAGGTTTAGGAGGGTGTCTATGGGAATGTTGGGCCATTTGTGAGATCAGGTACTGATGTTGGGGGAGGGGCTCGCAGTCTCCGCTTTTATTCATCCCAAAGGTGTTCTATGGGGGTGAGGTCAGGACTCTGTGCAGGCCAGTCAAGTTCCTCCCCCCCAAACTCCCCCATCCATGTCTTTATGGACCTTGCTTTCTGCACTGGTGCGCAGTCATGTTGGAACAGGAAGGGGCCATCCTTAAACTGTTCCCACCCACAAATTTGGAAATTGTCCAAAATGTCTTGGTGTGCTGATGCCTTAAGAGTTCCCTTCACTGGGACTAAGGGGCCAAGCCCAGCCCCTGAAAAACAACCCCCTCCTCCATAATCCCCCCTCCCCCAAACTTTACACTTGGCACAATTCAGTCAGGCAAGTACCGTTCTCCTGGCAACCGCCAAACCCAGACACGCCCATCGGATTGCCAGACAGAGAAGCGTGATTGGTCACTCCAGAGAACACGCCTCCACTTCTCTAGAGTCCAGTGGGGGCGTGCTCTACGCACTGTTGTTGTGCCAATCTGAAGGCCACATGGAGTTTGGAGGTCTGTAGCTATTGACTCTGCAGACAGTTGGCTACTTCTGTGCACTTCAGCATGCGCTGACCCCGCTCTGTCATTTTACGTGGCCTACCACTTCGTGGCTGAGTTGCTGTTGTTCCCGGTTGCTTCCACTTTGTTATAATACCAATAACAGGAGACCGCGGAATATTTAGTAGCCGGGAAATGTCACGGAACCCCTGAATCCAATGATTTGGAGGGGGAGGAGCCCAATACTTTTGGCAATATAGTGTATAATTTGCTTCATTTAATTATTACTCAGGTGCTGACATCCCTGTTATAGAATCTATATACTCACCATAATCCAAATATAACCATAACCCCAACACTCACCATAATCCAAATATAACCGTACCCCAACACTAGCCATAATCCAAATATAACTATAACCCCAACACTCACCATAATCCAAATATAACCATAACCCCAACACTAGCCATAATCCAAATATAACCATTAGCCCCAACACTCACCATAATCCAAATATAGCCATCGCCCCATCACTCACCATAATCCAAATATAACCATAGCCCCAACACTAGCCATAATCCAAATATAGCCATCGCCCCCTCACCCACCATAATTCTAATATAACCATAGCCCCAACACTCACCATAATCCAAATATAACCATAGCCCCAACACTAGCCATAATCCAAATATAACCATTAGCCCCAACACTAGCCCTAATCCAAATATAACCATGGCCCCAACACTAGCCATAATCCAAATATAACCATTAGCCCCAACACTCACCATAATCCAAATATAGCCATAGCCCCAACACTAGCCCTAATCCAAATATAACCATGGCCCCAACACTAGCCATAATCCAAATATAACCATTAGCCCCAACACTCACCATAATCCAAATATAGCCATAGCCCCAACACTAGCCCTAATCCAAATATAACCATGGCCCCAACACTAGCCATAATCCAAATATAACCATTAGCCCCAACACTCACCATAATCCAAATATAGCCATAGCCCCAACACTAGCCCTAATCCAAATATAACCATGGCCCCAACACTAGCCATAATCCAAATATAACCATTAGCCCCAACACTCACCATAATCCAAATATAGCCATAGCCCCAACACTAGCCCTAATCCAAATATAACCATGGCCCCAACACTAGCCATAATCCAAATATAACCATTAGCCCCAACACTCACCATAATCCAATTATAACCATTAGCCCCAACACTAGTCATATTCCAAATATAACCATAGCCCTGTCACTGGCCATAATCCAAATATAACCATTGCTCTTATCTTCATACAACCTTGCTCTAATACTAAAGATAATCTGAATAAAATCCTTTCCTTAAAGTGTATTTCCACTTTTGCAGCCAGATTGGGATTACACCTATTATACATTTGTTACATGTTTCCTATTCACGTTATATAACCTTAAAATGATTTTTAAGAATGCTTCTTTCACTTTAAGTTGTTGTCCTAACAATGAGTGGAAGGATTACAACCCTGGCTTCTGCATTGTATGTTAATGAGGGCAACACATTGCACACAGCCCTGTCCTCAGTCTTTGTAAAAGGACAGGTCACTGTGAAGGTGCTGAGGAAAACCTTGAAATCAGCCATGTTGTCTGCTGCAACAACAAAAAATCTAAAAGGTAAGAAAAATCATTTTTCGTTATGGTACGTGAATGGGAACACACAACAAATTTGGCTGCAAAAGTGGAAATACACTTTAAGGTAGAACACAAGCCACAACTTTTTTTAGGTTTTGGATAGAGTAATGGAGGATTATAACCCGTCAGCTTTTTTTTTTTTCTGCCATCTGTCCCATTGGTGAGATTTCCCTTCACTTCCTGTCCAATAGCCACAGCAGTAAGTGAGAGGAAATCCCTCCAAAAGTGAGGGGAATCACTTGGGGAAGTGAGGGGTGGTCAGAAGGGCCACCTGAACTAGTGTCCCCATTAGAAGATTTCCCATCGATTCCTGTTCTGATGACAACCACGAAATGTGAGATTTTCTTTCACTTTCAGTGATAACAGCCACCAGGAATAGAGAGGGTGAATCTCCCTAATGGGGACACGCACAGACAGCAATAAAATCCTGGCTGGGGGTCTAATCCCTCTCCATTCCATCCAAAATGAAAAAAGTTTTGGCTTCAGTTTCACTTTAACACTCTCTCCATGACCTCAAAGGTCATCTCTGGTCAAAACTAAAAATAAATCTGTGTTTTTGTATCGACTTTCCATAAGTTCCATCCCGCTCCCAATGACCAGATCCATCTAGAAGTTTGTACACTTGCTTGCTAAAGATGCCCATAGGATGGACTTCCTTGGGTCACAACTCAACGTCTGAACAATGTCACATTATCATTGCTTGCTGGAAGCAATGCATGATGGGACATGTGGTCTTGAGAAATGGAGATTGCATCACATCAAGCAGCAGGGACAGAGACGCAAAGCACACTGGGAATCCAGGAAGTGATGGGCAGACGGAAGGCGGCGCTCACTACATAAAAGGGATTTTTTTCATGTAAGCTTTGATTGTATTATCAGAAAAAAACTCTACTATGTATTCCTATTACAATGCTGATGTCATAACTAGGGATGCACCGATATATCGGCCGCCGAAACAAATCGGCTGAAAATGGCACTTTTGGCATAATGCTGAAAGTGCCATTTTTCTGCCGATACATCGGCGCGTCCCTGCTTTCTTTCCACCCCGCTGGGCGCTGCTCTGTAAGAAGAAAGAAAGTGACAGCCGGGCGAGCGCTGCGGGAAGAGAGCGCTGTGAGCGGCCGGCGTCTCTCCTCCCACACCGCTCAGCCTCCTATCACAGTCTGGCAGAACGGTGTGTGGGCGGAGACAGCCCGCGCTGTGACAGCGTGTCAGAGAGGATAGCGGGTACAAGCAGCCGTGTGATCAGTGATCGCTGAGTGTTTGTAGATAATTGAGGACCTGGTATGGTTACTATATCCTTAATTATGAATGAATGGGAAGTGCTCTACATCCCCTCCTGTTCATTCACGATTGTGGTTATAGTAAACACACTATGTTCTCATGTTATCAATGATCAGGAACACTCAGTATAGAGGATTCGTATTCATCTATAACTGGGGCTGCAGAAAAAGAGATTGAGGACTCTGTGTTCTCTGAGGGCTCTGTGTTCTCAATCTCTTTTTCTATTTTAAAAGGGAAGTATCAGGGGTCTGTTTAGACCCCCCCCCCCCAATATTTCCCCAAAGCAACTAAAAGTAAAGTAAAAAAAAAAAAATATTTAATTAAAAAAATGAATTAATAAATACAAATAAATATTAAAAAATTAAAAAGTTTATTAAAAAAAAAATATTTAAATATTGAAAAAATAAAAATAAAAACATTTTCGGTTTCGGCCTGACCATTTTTTTAATTTTGGTTTTTACATTTCTATTTCGGTGCACCTCTAGTCATAACAGGAGAGGAGATGCTGGGACTTCACAACTCCTTTAATATAACCCTATGCATTATCCCAATATAATCCTAGCACTAACAAAAACCATGACCACAAGCTACCCCACCCTAACACTGGCCATATTCCTCTATACCCTTAAGCAATCTGTTTTTTTTAAAATTTCTGTCCCTTGCAGGTATTGTTTTCCACTCAACATCTACGATGAAGTCAATGTTCGCGATCGCCTTCTTCCTTCTGTGTTTACCAGCTGCGAATGGCGTCCTGATACCAAAAGTATGTGTCCAGGGTGTGACGCAATGGCCGGTAGTTTGCTGTCCAAATTACAAGACATCGAGGTGCGGAAGCGCCCTGGGCCGGGGGAACTGTCTCGCTGTGCCCGCCAGTAGAAGCGAACCTCCGCCAGATATTACCTTTGATGAGCGCTTTGGCTTTCCCGCCTTCTTCTTCAACTGGACTTGCCAATGCAGTCCCAAATTCACGGGCTACAACTGTGGTGAATGCATTTTTGGCTGGACTGGGGATAACTGCAACATTCCGTACACGGTCACCAGAAGGAACATACTCAGCCTGACCCCAACCGAAGTAGAAACGTATCTAGCTAAAGCTCATTACTGCAAATCCAAAATTGATCCAGAATTTGTCGTTCTGAGAACCGCCGACCGTTTCCGCAAGAGGTCCTTAGAGTTCATAGAGGCCTCCTACTTGGATGTGCTCGCGTTTGATCATTATTATGGCGTGAAACCTTTCAATTCTGATGCCGAAGAATTCTTTATCATCAACTATGCTCATGGCAGTACCGGCTTTCTAACCTGGCATAGCCTTTATTTACTTCATCTGGAGAGGCAAATGCAAAAATGCTTAAAAGATATCAACTTTGCTCTTCTCTATTATAAATGGGAGGAAGATCCAGACTGCGCCATCTGCAATAACAATTACATAGGAGCTAGTGGCTTCGATGGAAAAATCAGTAAATACTCTGTCTTCTCCGAATGGCGGGTATGTATTGAATATAGATATACCCTACTGGACACTCTATATCTGTCAGGGTTGGGCCAGTTTGTATATAGATATGTACTGACCAGACAGAGGCCATACATGGCAATTTAGAAGTAATTTTAACCAGAAGTAAATGCAACCAGCTTTCAGTTTGGAACTGAAGGGAGGAAGGAAACCGACACTCTTTAGACAATTTCATGGAAGCTGCTGTTGTCAGGGGGCCTTTGTCCCATTGATATTGATAGTCCTACTGCCACGATCTGGGATCAGGCTCAGAGTCCAGCAGCTGAAGCAGCAGGCAATTCGTGGTATAACAGGCCGGGTTCGGTACACAAGCAGGCGGTAGTAGTGGAGGAGCAGGCAGAAGCGTAGTCAGTGAACAAGTCGAGGTCAGGAGCTAAAGGTATCAGGTATGTAGCAGGAGATGGAGAGAGTAGTCGTTGAATCAGCAGCCAAGGGTCGGTACATGGGTAGCAGTATGAGTAGATTGAAGCACAGAGGGAGCAGGAAGCAAGATCAAGTCAGGAGCACAATAATCTGGCAAAGAGGAAGTGCAGAGGCGTGGCTTAAATAGGAAGTTCAAGGGAGGAGCAAGGAGTTCAGAGTTCAGCAGAGATTAGGTATAACTGAGGGTACACAGGAGATCAGGCAAGGAGCTATCCAAGGTTCTAAGGGGGCTCAGCAGGTAGAACCACCGCCAGCTACAGCAGGGGCTCTGGGTTCAGATTAGGTTCCTGACACCCACTGATTGAAAGTGGGTACAATTTATGGAAAATCGCTGTGCATAGCCCGCATTAAAGGAGAACTATGGGGTTAGTGCTTTTCCCCAAAGTTCTCCTAAGGGTAACGGGAGGACACAAACTAGCGTCCTCCCGTCACCCAAAGCTCCTACTTGGATGTGCTCGCGTTTGATCATTATTATGGCGTGAAACCTTTCAATTCTGATGCCGAAGAATTCTTTATCATCAACTATGCTCATGGCAGTACCGGCTTTCTAACCTGGCATAGCCTTTATTTACTTCATCTGGAGAGGCAAATGCAAAAATGCTTAAAAGATATCAACTTTGCTCTTCTCTATTATAAATGGGAGGAAGATCCAGACTGCGCCATCTGCAATAACAATTACATAGGAGCTAGTGGCTTCGATGGAAAAATCAGTAAATACTCTGTCTTCTCCGAATGGCGGGTATGTATTGAATATAGATATACCCTACTGGACACTCTATATCTGTCAGGGTTGGGCCAGTTTGTATATAGATATGTACTGACCAGACAGAGGCCATACATGGCAATTTAGAAGTAATTTTAACCAGAAGTAAATGCAACCAGCTTTCAGTTTGGAACTGAAGGGAGGAAGGAAACCGACACTCTTTAGACAATTTCATGGAAGCTGCTGTTGTCAGGGGGCCTTTGTCCCATTGATATTGATAGTCCTACTGCCACGATCTGGGATCAGGCTCAGAGTCCAGCAGCTGAAGCAGCAGGCAATTCGTGGTATAACAGGCCGGGTTCGGTACACAAGCAGGCGGTAGTAGTGGAGGAGCAGGCAGAAGCGTAGTCAGTGAACAAGTCGAGGTCAGGAGCTAAAGGTATCAGGTATGTAGCAGGAGATGGAGAGAGTAGTCGTTGAATCAGCAGCCAAGGGTCGGTACATGGGTAGCAGTATGAGTAGATTGAAGCACAGAGGGAGCAGGAAGCAAGATCAAGTCAGGAGCACAATAATCTGGCAAAGAGGAAGTGCAGAGGCGTGGCTTAAATAGGAAGTTCAAGGGAGGAGCAAGGAGTTCAGAGTTCAGCAGAGATTAGGTATAACTGAGGGTACACAGGAGATCAGGCAAGGAGCTATCCAAGGTTCTAAGGGGGCTCAGCAGGTAGAACCACCGCCAGCTACAGCAGGGGCTCTGGGTTCAGATTAGGTTCCTGACACCCACTGATTGAAAGTGGGTACAATTTATGGAAAATCGCTGTGCATAGCCCGCATTAAAGGAGAACTATGGGGTTAGTGCTTTTCCCCAAAGTTCTCCTAAGGGTAACGGGAGGACACAAACTAGCGTCCTCCCGTCACCCAAAGCTCAGTATACCGTGAGCTACAGCTCCCAGTATACTGAGATGCGGCAGCTGGGGCGGATCCCGACATTACTGTCGAGATCCACCCCGCTGCCTGATTGACAGCTGGCTCTGGAGGCCCGGACAGGGGAGGGGGGAATCCCTGCAGGGAGCCGTGAGTGACAGTCACAGCTCTCTGCAGGGACAGGATCGAGAAGTGAGCGAGCGATGGAATGTGATCGCACACTTCCCAATCTATTGAGCCGACCTGTGACAGTCTCATTGTCACAGGTTGGCTAAAACTACGAGGCTGAGTGATTTTCATAGTTCTCCTTTAACCTGGTCTCATAATTGGCAATTTTCAGCTACTTTTAACCACTTTCCACCCACCGGGAATTGCCAATATGAGTGCTCTGCCCCGGGCGCCCATAACTCTGGTTACGCCACTGACCACCACCACTTTGTTTGACCATCAGAATTAGGTTGATTGTGAAGCCAAAACTGGTCAATAAATTGGCAGCTTCAATTCAGTTTACTAAAAGATTGAGTAGAAAAGTAAATGCTACAGCCATCTCATTTCAAAAGCGATCAGATCCACCGGAAAGAATGGAAATCCAATGAATAAAAGGGGCGGGCCAGGGACAGTCAGGCTGGAGAGGAAAGGACTAGATCATGTTGGGCGTCCTCCAGCCAGCAAATGTGGATCTATCTGAGAAGCTTCATGAAATTCCATCTGTTTTTATCCCCTTCCAGATGATTTGCGCAGTTGACTATCCTCAGACGGTTTGTTTGACGGAGGATTGCGTATGTGAACGCCCGAGGATCGTTCGTATGCCAGGCTTCGTGCAGGTTGACAAGCCAACGGTGGCTGATGTAAATGTCTGTATGAACATTACCAACATTGACACGGCACCTTATGATGATAGGTCACAGAACAGCTTCAGGAACTGCATTGAAGGTAGGAACCAGAACGCCCTGATTTTCTGAAAGGGGAGTTCCACTGCAAGCTGTCAACGGAACATTTCTTCCCACCCAAATATTAACTGCTTTAGGTATCCGCATGCGCAGACACAAGTGAAGCACATTGCAACACAAGGCCAATGTCCTGCGTTTGTGCACAGGTATGGGGGGAAGGGAAGTCCATACAAGACTCATCAGTGGAGCAATACACCTCTAGAGTCATATCCGCATTTCCTGCACTGTAAGGCTCTGCCCCTGAGGTTTCCGCTGCAATGAGAGGTGTTAGGCACTTCAGAGTGTATTCAAACCCCAAAATGTAACAAATTAGGCTCAATCAGGGGCGTAACTAGAAATCACAGGGCCCCATAGCAAAATTTTGTGTGGGGCCCTGTGATTTCTAGTTACACCCCTTGAAGAGCCCACATAGCTCACCTGAGGGTGACCCTGCAGAGCCCACCATAGACTTTTTATGGTGGGCTCTGCATGTTCACCCTCAGGTGGGCTGGTCACATTCCTTACCTGTCCACCTCTTCTTCCTCTCCGCCGCTGCTGACTCTCATTGACTCAGCAGCGGCTATGGAGAAGAACGCAGCACTGCACAGATCATGGTGATCTGAACAGCGGCGCGGTGGAACCCATAGCGACCCAGGCGGCCCGCACGGCATCAGGGGGGGTGCCCTGGCCGGGCCCCCCTGTGCCCGGGCCCTGTAGCGGCCGCCTGGGTCGCTATGGCTATTGTTACGCCACTGGGCTCAATACAGAAAGCTTTACCACAAAGATTAGTAACTTTATTTTAGCCATGTGACTGTCATTTTCAAATCTCATTGGACTGAGCTAAAAATAACTGTCACTTTTTTCAAAATAACTACCGTATATACTCGAGTATAAGCCGAGTGCTGACTCGAGTATAAGCCGAGGGGGGCACTTTTTAGCCAAAAAAATGGGCTGAAAATCTCGGCTTATACTCGAGTATATACGGTATCCTTATCCTGCTGTGTTAGCTGTGTGAATTGAGCTGATTGTAGCTTACCCGTCCCTAGATGTGGGGGCAGCATTATTTTTCTTTTATCCATTTTTCTACCTTAATTTTCATCTGGTAACTTTGCAAATAACACACTTCCTGTGCTAAGGTGACAACGCTCACTCCTCCACTGTATCTATGGAGGGAACGCATAGTTGCCATCCAGGCTGGACGTCATACATGTCTTCCTCTCTTCATCTCCACTACATTGGAGTTGGGGAGGAGTAGTTTAAAGAAGCAAAATAACATGGTTTGTGTTTTTAGCATATCTCCTAGGAAGTGACTAGGACAAAGCATTTCTGGAAAGATCAGCATTTTTTTTTTTTTACTGTACTTGCTGAAAATGTTCCTAGCCTGAAAACTAATGCAGCCACCAAACCTAAGGACTGGTAAGCTGCAATATGTTAATTTTTTTTTGTTCTTGGGTTTAAATATCCTTCAAAAGAGGGGAAGCACAAAAGGAAATCTCCACTAAGCAGGCACGTAAACAGGATGTCGGAGAGGTGACATAGCAAAAGTAGAGGTGAAGAAAAGAAAGAGCAGCAAAAGGACGAATGGATGAGGTGGTTAATTCCAACATGACTCAGGAGTGACAGATTCCCCCTTCTGCCGGGAAGACATATGTGAAAGAAAATATATATAGCATGTGATGTTACATGTTCCTTTAAGAAAAAGTATCGGTAATTGGTATCGGCAAGTACCTGAGGGCAAGTACTTGTACTTGGTTTTAAAAAAGTGGTATCGGGACGGTAGTATCGGTAATTAGTATCGGGGAGGAGAAGTATCGATACTCGTACTCAGTCTGGAAAAAATCACATCAGTGCATCTCTGATATATTATATATAGATACACGTCCATTCCATGAAGCTGTTGTTGTGCCAATCTGAAGGCCACACGAAGTTTGGA